GAGCACAGTATTTAAAAATTAACGCTGTAGTTATAGCAAGGGAAAATGTATAATTTGTAGGGATGTGCGAAAACTCGGCTTGGGAATTTTTGTCGGCTTTAAACGGAATTCTGAAAGTTTAACGAATAAAAAATAAAGTGATTACCGAATTCAGTTTTGAGTCTCAAGTCCCGGAATTACGAGTAAACGGCAAACTTTCAGGACTTCCCGACCTAAATTTTCGTGTACATGCACGCCTATTAATTTCAAGCTTATACTCTGTATAAAAAGTCGATTCGATTGTAAAGAAAAAAAGTACAGACGCACCTGAAGATCGCGAACGGTGCCAAAGATGTTATACCAAAGTTGACATTACGGTCCCACCGACACGGAGAAGAGGATTACGGGCTCGGGGGAGAAGCGAGCGAAGAGGCTGCGAGAACGAAGTCGATACCTGAACCGATTACCTGTTCCCAACAGCCAATCGGAGAGAAAGTTACCCCACTCGAACGATCTCCGCCCTCGAGAGGCAGGCCTGTCCCCGACGAAAGCGTACCTAGCCAGAGAACAGGTAACGCGATCACCTCGAAGCAGCCCCCGAGGGACCAGGTGAAAATCAATAGACCAGTGGCGGCTGTTCGGACGCGTGCGTACTTAGCGCGGATGACGGACATTGCCTCTTTCCACGGTTTACACCCGCCCGCAGGGAGTGCACCGCGGCGGTTCGCGTGGATACTGGCCCGTGCCCACCCTCTCGTCACGGACCGGACCGGGAGAGAACGGGCCCGAGGGGCAGTTTCGAGCGCGGATACGTGCGAGCAGCAATTTAGCCGAATCATTCCTGTCGCATGATTTATCGGCGTCGCCCTTTCCTCCTGACTGTACACATACCCTGGCTGCGCGGTGGTATAATAGTAGTAATAGTGCTGGGACGGAGTTTCTGATGTAGCCGAGCCGACCATGCAAAGTGTTCGCGATAAATCTTCGTTCATGCGATTCGTGTTGCGCTCTCTTACTCCTCGAGGTAATCGTCGCGATATATGTAATTTTTCCCTTCTTCTTCTTCTTTACCCTCTCCCACCCTAACTTTGATTCTGGCTCGCGACCGAAGGAAAAAGACACGACGCGCAGGTCGCGTGGCGCATTGCGTGAAAAAAAGGAACGCGCCCTTAATTGAATTAGTCACGAGGCTCGTGACTGGGTCGCAACGATTTTAGACGTCGCGTGATTTGGTCGATGCCCACGAAAGATAGCTCTGCCGAGTTGTATTCTAACTGAGAAAAACATGGCAGCGTTTAGTTTGTAAAAAGAAAAGCCTCTGGGACTGGCCCAGCCACCGGGAATATTTTACTCCAACCGGCTCGGAACGTGTTGTTACGAAGACATACGAGGAACTGGTTAGTCGAACAGGGTCAACGACTTCATCATCTTTTAACAGACACGTCTCGATGCGGAAATTGGTTCATTCAGCTGTCCAAACAACGCGACGCAGGGGAGGCTAATCTTGTTAACGAAACAATGATCATCCATGGATATTTCCATGCTCGGCTCTATTCGGTCACGCGTCCAGTTTCCAACATGCTACCAAATATTCTCAACCTCTAATCTTATATTTCGACACGATGAATTCATCTCATATCGTTCTCTAGTATAAAGTACATTTGGATACGTACTGTTTGAAGTTTAAGTTAAATATGTATGTAAGATATTAAATTCTCATTGTGCATTTCATATGTCGATATTAATGGAAATTATGAGAGACAATAAGATGTGAGACTCTCTGAAAGTTTTAAAATAGATTCTAGTGCAGCTAATTTGGTTCATTGGACAAAACTTTCGAGTCCAATTGAAAAGTATTTTAAATGTCTTTTTTTACTTGGAACAACAGAAATTTAGAAACTTGTGAATTGTTTAATTGTTGTGGAGAAGGTTAATTCTAAAGTATGAAATTGGAAATATTCTCAGGATAGTCTTTAAGTTATGACTGAATATCCAGATGTCTTATTTTAGTCGTAAATGAGTTGGTTAACTACTTTAAAGATGATTCGATTAAATTCAAAGTTCACTCGAGAAGAGTTTTGAGACTCATGTTAAGTTCAAGCTCTGGCAGGTTTAGTGGTCGATGATTCAATTACTGTGACCGCATCGTTTACCAGTTTCGGTAGGACGTGAATCGACTGGGTCGAAGACAGGCGAACCACAATATCCGAATCCTAATTGGATTTTTCTGTTAAATTGAACATCGTGTACGTGCCACCTAAACAGTTAGGGTGATCCACTCTTTCCTTTGTTCACAGACACTTGAACCAAATTAATTAATTTAATAAAACTATAATTCGTCTATCAAGAAAATTATTGTTCACTTCACCTAGCATTACAGAAAGTGGGGCGTTTATTACATAAAGTGTAGTTATACGATTTTCAGAAACAGGTTGCTCATTTCTTCGTTTCCATTTAAAGAAACCTCGACCCTACAAATTTAACCTTCCGTATCCATAATCAGCGTCCTTTGTATACGCAGCGGGGTAGGTGCAACCATCGCCATGCGGACATTATTAACAACATCGTGGCGCAGTAAAAAAACACGGCAAGTGTTCGAGATCGATAACTCTGAGAAACTGTTCCTAAGGGGTAGGTAGCATCGATCCCGACGAGAGAAGCAGCACGCGAGGCTCGTGAAAGAATTTGCATCGGACCTCGTTCAGACTTTCTTCTCCCCTCAACTCCGCGTGACTCGCGCTCGTGACCAGAAACCTCGAAGGTAATCCTCTTCACTGGCCTTTATCGCGCCCAAAATACGACCAATAGTCGCGTTGTTATTCACGAACGAGCACCAATTTTCTTTTATCGTCTAAGAATGATTTTCACCGAGCCTGAATATTACAATTCTAAATCGACAAGCTTAGAGGCAGACGATGAGCCAAACTTTGTTCGAGCTATTAAAGATTAGCAATCATGTAGATGGATTTTAAAACTCATTGAGACTTTGAGTCTGGGCCGGATTTCTGTTTCGAGTTCGCTGCTCGCCAACTGGAAGGACGCGACGTTATTACGCGAAGAAAGGTCGGCTGTTCAATTAGTTTTCGTTCTCTCTTAAGTACTCGCGAAGAATTTAACCAGCAGCGTGCACGCAACTGAAATTGATGATCTTAGCAAGGACACTGCCCGGAGATATCGTTCGCGTGAGATCCTCCGCCATTACCGAGCAAATCGTCTATCGAGCAAATCGTTTCTCTCCGCTTTATACAGATCATTAGATCCTGGTGTCGCCTCCAGGATTGAGAACGTTCTTGGAAACAACGGCTCTCTTTTTCTCTCCGTCAACCATCGATTAGGTGGCGAGGTACACCGACATTTTGTATATCGTGGAAAACCAGGATACCAGCCGGGTTTCGCCAAATCGAACAAAAGTCGAACAACCGCGGAGAACAGGAAACGCACGCGAAGTGGGATCAATGTTTCCAGCGTATCCGTTCTTGCCGCTTTCCCATGAAACGGCGTACGTAGCTAATTATCTGGAAACGATGAAAAATGAAGAGAACTCGAAAGCGGGTCGATGCACTCGCTCGTCAGATGGGAATAGGAAGTATTGTGACAGATCCAGCAGGAAGGCAACGGTATCATTTCTGAGAAGACTGCAATTCGTTTCAAAAACAATCTTCAAACCGATCTATCTTTACCCCCAAAGCACGAGCTTGCAATTCACGTCAAGTGACAGTTCACATGAATTTTTCAAGAATTTTATCAAACCCTTGCCTTTCGGCTTTGGATGAACTCTGTCCTCTTGCAATATTTCTTACAATGCAATTCTTAACACTGTGCCGTGTAACTATTATCACCTTTGATTTAATATTACCTGAGGAACCAAGACAAAAAATAAAATATCCAATATAAAATCAATGGGTGTCATCTCATAACAGTGATAAGATAAATATGACTTCTTTTATGACAACTGAAACATAATAATACAATGATAATGACGAGTTAAACAGGGACCCTTCATGTCACCCTTTTTTTCATTGTCGTCACCCTTGAAGTAAGACGATGAAGAGAGATTCGTCGAAGTACCAGCGACTCATAAGAACAGTTTCTTAATTATGTATACGATGAGAAACCCTTGAAAACAATATAAATCGACTGTGGCCCCTAAATATACATTGAAAAAGACGATCTACCCTTTTATTACACCCCGTACGATCGTCACATCTCATGTCTGAGCGTAGCAATCATAAAAACGTGATGCAGCGCGAATAGACAGAGGGACAGGAAGATTGTTAGTATCGAGGCTGGATAATCGTTGGAATCGTCGATTCCGGAGCGTAGCCGGCATCCGACATCGACATCCGATTCGGGGATTAATCGATCCGGTCCGCGTAAAAGACAAAGAGAGCCGTTGGCGTCGGCGGTGGCGGCGGCGGCGGCGCGGGCGCGTCAGTCGGAAGGCGGAAGGGTGCCTCGGTCGTTGCGTGGGCGACGACGAGCGCTGGCATGGACAGATCGGTGGGCGTCCACGGGTTCGCCCAATTGGTCGATCGGCCTGGTAATGGTCGGTGGGCGTTTGGTAAGCGCAGATGCGCGGCATCCAGTGCGCACTTGGCTACCTTTAGACTTGTTCCATGCATCCTGAAGACTCCCCCTTCTCGCTCTAAGCCTCTCTCGTCCGCCTCCGTTCCCTCTCGTCCTCGCCTCACCCCGTTCGACGATCCCGCGCCGATCGTAATCGCACGAGCAAGCCCTCGTCGTCTTTGACTCTCTTTCTCTCTCTCTCTCTCTATCTCTTCAAGTTTGATAGCGTATTCATCGTCCTCTTCCCACGGCAGTCGACGTCCACCTCGCGTATCCCGGTTCGTCTTCGTCAGAATGCCGCCGTCACCGCGCGCCGCGGCGCCTTAAATCTTGATCTCACCTCGGCGGCGAACCGGAGAGGGTGGGGGTAAGGCTAGTCTGGGCGCGCTTCGAACCACCGAGCGGAAGGCAATCTGCTCGAATCCGGCGAACCGCGAGCAGGTTATCCCGTGTTACTCGTGTTACATTGTCCCTCTTCTTCTTCTTCTTATTCTTCTTCTTCTTCTCCTTCTTCTATTCCTCCAACTACGCGCACCTCGGCTATTCGCAGCCAGCCCGATGGTCGCCGGACGTAAGTGGTGTTTCCACCGGACCGTCTTGAGAAGATACTTCAACGAGAGTCACGTGTGACGTCGTCGATTTCTGTATACACTGGCACCTCGATAGGAGGAAGGCTTCGAAGACGTCAAGAAGAATCAAGAATCGAAGATCACCACCAGACGAAAATAAGTATCGATGGCACCGAGAGGGTGTTACCGCTGAGACTCGGGTCGAGGACCAAAACCGCGAAGAGACAAACGGAGGAACTGTCGGGTGTTGAAAAAAATCTGCACGTCAGTGAGGACGAACGCGAGGTAGCCGGTGACACCGCGAGGCGTAGGAGAAGGTGGGGGTAAGGCTAGTCTTTGGCGCGCTTCGAAGGCCCGAACGGAAGGCAATCCGCTCGAATCCGGCGGACCGCGAGCAGGTTATCCCGTAGCCGCCTGTACCATCGTTGCCCGTTATTGGAGAAGGGAGCGAAAGGAGGAAGAGAGAGAGGCGACGGTGAAGCCGAGAGAAAGAGGCTGAAATCGGAGCGAAAGACGAAACGCGGAGGCGAAAAAGAGAGAGAGCGATCACGGAGAGAGGGAGGGAAGGCAGAGAAGGGCACACACGTCTGTAGGTAGTCACGAGCTTCGACGAAGCGCCTGCGCTCGCGAGCACTTCTCGTCGTTACCTCCTCGCATCGAGTACGCTCGTCCACGTAGACGCGACAGCCGACGTGAAAGCTCGCGCCGCGATGAATCGCGTTCGCCGACGGACCGTCGGACAGGATGTCATTCTGCATCGTTAAACCGACCTGGAGCAGGAACGTGGCGTCGATTGCGCTCGCGCGCTCCTGCGCCAGCGCGATACATCCACCGATCGTGATTGTGACACCGTGCGTGCCTGACGAGTGCGTTACATCGATTCATTTCATCCGTTTTCGTTATCACTGTGAAACTTCCGAGGAACTATAACCGAACGCTCTCACCCGCGTTCTCTTCCTCTCGCGGAAGACTTCCCGCTGACTCGTTACTGCATCGTTCCTGCCTCGAAATCATCCGACGCTCCCGGTAAGACACTAACGTTTGCCGAGTTTCAAATTGCTACTGAATTCCGTAGTTTCTGGACATCGCCCGCTGTTCGGTAAGACGATAACTACCTACTAAAACCGCCGCCAAGACAGAACTGAACTCTGCGGGTCCCGCTATAAAAATGTCGCAAACTTGTCGAGTCGCAACCAAAATTGCTTCGACCTCTCGCTCATAGCTTCTCGGCGAACCGTCTTTTCCATCCCCGAGCGAGAAGAGGGTGGAAGGTAACTCGTGGGTGAAGACCGTTTGGGTCCGTCGGGCACGAAAGCAGGAAAAGATACGAATCTGAGACAGGGAGGACGGTTTAGCCACAGAAGTGGAGGCAGAGGGGGAGGAGGAGGAGGAGGCGCTGGTGCCCGGTGCGTGGAGGGGCTGGAGGTGATCGTCTGGTGATGATGATCGGTGGCGGCGTCGCGACCCCTCCTGGTACTGCCAAGTCGGCGGCTGCGATCGACAGCGAAATGGTGCAGGTCGATGGCATTGGCAGTGGTAGTGTCAGTGGCAGTGCTAGTGGTAGTGGTAGCCCCGCGACAGGCGCGACTACTACGCGTTTGACGAACAACGCTGCCAATAACAACAATAACGGGGACGTTGCCAATAACAATAACAACAACAATAACAACAACAATAATGCCGATGGTCACCCGGTGGTGAACTCCGGCGGCGGTACCGCAACGGCGACGGAGAAGTTCTGCTGTCACGAAGAAGAGCCACCGGTCAGCACGGGAGTCGCGCGGCCTTGGGAACCACCCTCGCCGACCTTCTCGCAGACGAGGTCGCATCTGCTTCAGGTCCATCCGCCGCATCATCATCAGCATCCAGCTGCGCACCATCATCAACAGATGACCGTCCCGCCAGTCTCTTTGATCGACGGTCAGTTTGACGTCTATGCTTCTCCTTATTCTCACCCCTTAACACGGTCGAACCCCGGTAAATTCGCTTCTCGGCGTAGTTTTCGTTAGCTTCTAATTAATCAATCTTCTAAATAGGTGGCGGAATAAAGAGAGCTCGGGATGAATGATGTAAATGTCACGAGAATAGCGTGACAGTCGGATTTCGCAACCCTTGATTGATCACTTTTAACTGATTTTTCATAATTGCATTTATAGAAACGGAATCCTATCTCATTTTCCTTAACGAGAAAATTGTTCATCAAACGTCGTGACGTAAATCAGAGAACGACTAGTTTTTATCAATTTTTAAGGACACTGGTTCGAGTAAAGGATTTCTTGTTCGAAGCAGCACGAGCATACTCGACGACACTAATAAGGATGTCATAACAAGTCTATTAAATACCTACTGACACCTGCTTCTTTGAATAGTTAAAAACATTCTCACCGTGATATCGCTGTCAAAAGTTCTTGTCACATCACTTTTGTTCAAATTCTAAAATAATTAATTCAATTTAAGTCAATTCCGAGAACGATGACAATTTTAATTACGAGATTCCATAAAGACTGTTCTCGCATCCCGACTCGATAAGCGATACTTCGTTTTGCTTCACTGACAGTGAAAATCAGACGAAGCCAGTTAATTCGCCGCGTCGTCTAATTAATCGACGTTCAAGTAAATTGCCTCGCTTAATCAACTCATCTGAAACACTTGAATACACCGCGTATTTCGTGATAATCGCAATGGTTCGAGGTAATCGATGAAACATCCGCGTTACGGTTCGTTTCGTCCCGGCTGAAAATCTTCCATGGGACCGGAGCGAACGAACCAAGACGGACCTCGGCCGTCGCCGTCGCTTTTGCCTTTGTACACGTGGAACAAAATCGCGACAATTAAATTTAATTGGACAAACGGTGTGTCGCCGATGTTCCACGTCCCGATCAGAAAATCGTTCAGCTTTTTGCCTGGCTAACTGCTACCTTCTACATTGTAAAGTGTCGCTCGTTTCGGTGACGGGAGCTGTTCGCAAAAACCGGTAGAACCGATCGCGCTTTGTCGATTGTTCCTCGATTATAAAAAGTGTTTGCATTTTTTTACGCGGTAGATCATTCGTTATTTTCAATCCACAGTTCAATTATATGGCCACTTGAACTTGATTTAATGCGTCAGGGCGATCCAAGGATTCATTCGATTATTTATTTGATAAAGAATGTAACAATGTTTCTGCAGTTTTCTCGTGCGTGAGTAACGAGGGACGAGAACCCTCCATTTACTTGGACTTGATTAAATAACGTGCGATAGAACTTAATTCGGCTTATCTTCCCCTAATTGTTTATTTCACGAAGAAAGGCTTTGCTCGTTAACAGCTTGAGAAAAAAGGGGGCATCGAGTAAATCGGGTTAAACGAGCGTAACAACGTCGTTTCATGGTAGCTCCAGGTGTCGAAATCAGGGCCCGGGGCAGGCAGACGGTTCCTTAAGGGATGATACGATCTTCCCTACCATCCGCGATCGTATCTACCTGCGGGACTCAAGAGGCTAAACGTGCGAGAAATCGCGAAGCTCGGGCCAGTTAAGAAACCGAAATTATCGCCGATACCGCGATCAATATTCACACGCGTGTCACGCGCGCCGATTAAGTATTCAGGAACGAAATCACCGGAGCTGTACGCTGGAAACGGACGGCAAACATTTTTCTACGGTGGATAAAACTTCTGAACGTTATTTATCGACGTGACAACTAAATGATCGAACCGCGGCCGACGGTGGACGCAAATTACCGGCGATGGAGAGTCGTACGCTCGATATATTTCCATAATGCAGAATCGAACGTGCGTACTCGGCGGGACGAGAACGGGTGCGCGATAAACGACGGGACTATCGTTTTCACGTCGCGCCGTAAGAATTTCTTCGAGGGTATACAACTCTATTTTATCAGACCGTAATCATCGACGCAGGATGAACTCGTTCACGGCTAGGCGATGTTTATGCAAAAGCGTGATTTCATAAACGCAATTACATCGGGCCTAAACAGGAATTCCTTCTGCTCTTCGAGTATTACGTACGCGCTCGCCGGTTTTTCGCGCACCTTGCATCTCCTCGCGTGCTAAATGTTCTTACGAATGTACGATGATTCGCGGTCTAGCAATAACGCTAACGCCCACGGTGAGCGTATAATAATCTCTCGACGACTCGAGCGAGGGAAGACAGAAAGCGACGGTGCGAACGGCGAAACGCTGCGCCCGCGCCGCGTCTCGCTATAAGAATTCGCTGATAAGCAGAGTGTCCGGGACGCTGCCAACTACTGGATATATATTCGACATATTCTGGGATCCTTTCCGTGGTTTACACTTGCCAGATGAAACGATGCACGGCTACCAGCCATACTCGTCCAGAACCGGTTTCGATCCATTGCCAACAGTAGATCTTTTCGCGAAAGAGGCCCTCGTTGAACCTTCAATATCCGTTGACGAATTGGTAACGCTCCTCGGCTTCTGTACCTCATCTCGGTACCGGTAAACGACCAACAACTTCTGTCTCCCCTTCTACGATTTCCAATTATATCAATCGAGAAATGAACTGGAGATATGTTCTCCGATTTTAGAGATACGATCGACTGAATGTTTTGCATATCATTAACAAAGAGACTTTTTTTAGACAGATATTCTTCTTCTTTATAGCGAAATTCATTCATCTATAAAATTCCTTGGAAATGTGAAATCTATTAATGTAGAGAAGAACTATGATGCGGCTTCGCTGCATTAATTAGCGTACATAAAATTCAACATAGAATAGAAATCATGAACATTAGACACAGAAACTAAGTCGCCAGGTCACGGAACTTGAAAGACAATGAGGATTTTGCAAATATACCGTCTCACCCTCTTAGTAGATGATTGAGGTGAAATCCTGAAATTGATTTTTAAGTATTTGTATGGGTAATCGACGTGAAAACGAAAATAAACCCCAGATCTCGTTTTCTGTGAGATGTACTTTCAAGCATGTTAAAACTAGATACTAGAAGCGTCAGATAATTGATTTGACACTTTAGTAGAATTCCTGATCTGACTTTAATATGAAACAAAAGGACGAATGGCTAGGTCGGATCGGTTTATCCGACAGATTTTACTGCCACACCCAGCAGGTATTTCGAGGTAGCAGGTATAGCTCGTGGTCGCGGGTTCCCCGGTAGTTGGCAGGTATCTTCATCTGTCCGGTGTCGGCCACTTTGTTTCCCTTCAGCGGTCCCTGTCTCCAACACGGTCACTACACTCCTATCTATCCGCTATTGCACCGTAACGAACGATCGTTGTCGTTCCCAACGTCGCCCGCTAATTAGAAATCTCCCAACAGCTTAGCGAACGAGACAAGCTTGCCAGATCATGGGAGACGCCTAAATATTAGATTGGTGCATGTAAAACCTTCCTCGAAGCATACATAGAATTTCTACAGAATATCAACGTTTGATTCAGATAATTGTCTATCTTTATATGGCTTTAAATGATTTCATTATCCTAGATATATTGAGGGGATAGGACGATAATTAGAAGCTCGAGTTCGACGTCTCTGAGTTGAAACACTCTAAGCCTCGATTTTTGATAATCAAATTCTTCCCACTCATTTTTATATTTAATAAAATCGCAGTGTCTTCGCCTAATGTCGTTATTCTGGTTTGACTTGATTTTTTATTATGTTTGATATGCACCATACTTTGCATTAACCGTTTTAGCCTGATTAAAAGGATGGCCAATATTTAATCGACGCTTACGCGCAGCTAATTGGATCTCGTGTCCGTTGCCTTTAGTCCGTCGTACGATTTATCCCTCATGGTTGCCAGTGGATAACCCTAAGTATCTGGCTCCTATCCGACAGAATTTATGGCCACACCCGTTCGCTCCGAGACAGGTACCAGTCACCGGTTTGCTCGGTTTCGTGGATTTTCGGACAGGACGACATCGCCCCTCGAAATGTAATCGTCGAACCCGAGTCCGTTCGGAGGATCGAGAAATCGATTACGCGCGCACCAACCATCTTCGCGTTTATCGTCCGGGAGGATCTGGACTCGTAGCCAGGGAACGATGTGCCGGAGGACGATTTTCCTTCATACCGAAGGCAGCGCGAGACGTTTCGCATTTTTGTTACGATTATCTATCGCGTCGCGCGCGGAACGATCGGTTCTTCCCGCGCGGGACGATTTCGTGTAACGCGCGTAAAGAATATACATAGGATGAGAACTCGTTCAGAACAGAACCGGTTCTTAGCGAGCGTCGATGCAACGGCGCGACGACGACGACGCGAAATCTCTTCTCTGTTGCATCTGGTGCTACTTTCGTTTTCACGGCAATCCCAACCGATATTGGTTCGACACGAAACGAGCGCGGATCGCGCGTCCCGCGTCCGCGAGCTGCGTAGGTTTACTTCGAAACGAGATGCCTTCACACCCGTCGCACCGCGTACGCCTCGGCAAACTGCCTCGCTTATACCGTCCTTCCTTTCGGTACCAAATTGCTCGCGACACGTAATTTTCGTAAGAAACCTCATTGCTCGGCTTCCGACGACCATAAATTTCGTTTTATTTGCGAAGTTCGAACTGCACCGTAAATAATTAAAAAAGACGAATTTTCTAATAATTGTAAACGCACAGGACGCGAAAGAGCACACGTTCGTAGGTAAACAGTGAATAGAAATAATGATCGAATATTTTCAGAAATAATTTCGCACGACTCGACGAACATGTTCATTAAAATCACGCGTAGCAATAATCAAGTTTGCAATAAGTTGATAAAAAATAAAGTTAAGTTTGATCGTTGTGCGACGTTCCGTATTAAGTAACTACGGTAATAAGAACAGCGAGTGATAATAATGCTAGTTAATTCGTCGAGGTGGAGTCTTCCCTCGAGGTATCTGGAAATCCGTGTTAAAATTCCGCCGGACCGTCGATTGGCCGGGGCCCGTAAAGGACTAATTAATTAAACGGGCTCTATGTAAACGAGCGTACGCGCGCGCTCGTAACCAGTCGAAACAACGAGTTACAAATGAGGTTGGTGGACAGGGGGAACCCCGGCCTCTATCTACCTGCGGAATTTAATTTCCCGGTTTCACGATTCTCGTCCGGTCCGGTCGCCGATGATCCTGACGAGCCACGGGCCGGCGACGACGACGTCGCGTTCTCGTTGCCTCGAAACGGTTCTTTAATATCGTCGTTCGATCATAAATTATCGTCGACGCCGGTTCTGTATACGAGAGCATCGTTAAGATTATCCGGTCGTAAAATCACGGCGCCCGTACGCGCGGGCTCGATGCTAATTACAATTATTCGTCCGAGCCGTGATTCCTCGCGGAAATTAATTCGAGGGAAACGCGTAAAACCGCGTCGATACACGATCGCGTGATTATTCCTTGCGCAATTACCGATTCGTTATGAAAGGATCTTTGTGGTCCCAGACAAAAAACGAGAGCGTTTCGTGGACGCGAATCGTCGAGCCAACATCTTTCCCTGATCGCGACCACTCCTCTCCTCTTCGTCTCGCTTCACCTCGCCTCGTTCTGGTCACTCCCCTATCTCCACCGCCTCTTTCCCCCCCAATCTCTCATTCGCTTCCCCTCGCCCATCTCGCCTACCGTTGACCCATCCACCCATCGCGACCAGCCCTCTCGGTCGAGAGATACGATCTGCGTCCGAGGTTTAAAGTAAAGGCTCGAAAAATGGATCGGTCTCAATACCCGGGGCCCGCGTTCGATCGTAAATCGTCGCCGTGGCGCGCGAGAGTGGCACGAAACGGAACGACGAGATTAGCCGGCTATAAAACCACGAGGAAGTCCGCGAACCACCGGTCCGAGCGTGTCCTTCGAGGAATTACGAGGGTCTTCGCACCTCCGGGTGATTAATCGGCGCGATTTGAAACCGGGCGCCACGCCGCAACCGAGGAACGAGAGATCCAATCGACGAGATCTCGCCAGAAAACGACGCCTCGAGTAATTTAAATTAATTTGCGCGATTACGCCCTCAGCAGCAGCGGACTGCTCCGCGCGAGGATCCACGCGGCGCTCATTTAACGCCCGGTCCCCTCGTTATTAATGAAATCCAGCGAATCCTTATCGGTTCCGTTATCAGCCGATTTTCGCCAAGAAAAATTGCCCGCCGACTCAACCTCCAATCGAGTCTCCTGCTTTTACGAGAGGATCTTATTTCGATCGTGACAGAGAGAAACTGACAAGTGGCGACCATTACGAGCTTTCCTTCGGACAATAAATCGTACCGTTTGCTCGTATCGTTAGAAATGGAGATGAAACTCCTCGATACTAATTAATAGTTTCAGGTATAAAACCCGAAGCATTATTTATTCACACATGTCTCACTTCAGTCTTTCAACGCTACCTCCATAGGGGATTGGATGAGCAATGATTTAGAATCCTTAAACCTTATCAATCAGATACTCAGAATCGTAAACCGAGCTCGGCGATGCGCCAATACCTTTTGTGGCGTCACCGTGACTATTATCCGGGAACGAGGTCCGGCTCTTCGAAGACTTTTAGCGTTATTGTCGATCTTGTTAGTCAGCTGCTCTCACTGATGCGGCAGTGTAATAAAACGCGGTTGCGCCGCTGTGCTTTTCAGGCGTGAGCTTGCAAAACTGTACCGCGGGACCATTCGCCAGCGGTAACGGCGGCGGGGCCAGCCGGCAACGATTGCTCGAGCTGTCCCATGGATTAGGGGCCTTGAGGCACTACAACGACCTGGCCAATCATGTGCTCTCGCTGAATCAACAGGGCGCGGTTGTCACCAAATTATTAGGTGAGTTTCCCATACCGTGAATAAGTGATTTGATGATCCTGCGAAAGGCTTACGATTGGAAATGAGCGTACAAATTACGAAAAGGTTCAAACAACATTTCGTGTAAAATGTAGACATCGTAAAATCGAGCGTATCAAATTTTATAATAGAAGTCAACTTACTTGGTTTATATCAATAACCAATTTATAAAACAATGCATAAGATTTTGTGAAATTTACTGTTAGCTCTGCGAAGAAGGGACACCGTGTAACCGTTTTTTTAGTCTCGGATTCGTTTATGGTCACTTGTAGCAGAAGTAAGATCCAAGGCGCCTTACCTTCAAACGAACATAGTCATTACTGTTGACATCTGCTTGGAAATTTCCTATCTTTCGCCTTTCTTTACTCAGTCCAAGGCTCTGGTTAAGTTTATTACGGCTATAGTCAGTTTTTTGGGAATTACCAGACCCACGCTGCGACGCACAAACATTTACTGCTGTTAATATGTACTTCTAATCATGAAAATAGATACATCAAATTTAACGTGAAACATTATCTATCATCTAACACTTTTGTAAAATTTGCTTTTTTAAATGAAGTAAATGCTTTTTTTTATGAAGAAAGTTCGTCGAGGACCATTCCGGTTTTGAATTCAATTATAAGGAATGGTATAACTGAGAACATAAACGTCACAATGTAAGTTACTTTTTGACCAAGCTGTGACTTGCATTGCTTCTTTGAACTACGAATAGTAATTCAAAAGAAACGTGAAGTCCTAACTCATTCCCCATGCAAACTGATAGCAGCACAATGTAGACACGTTAACAAAACAGCTGTGCCGTTTCCGGAACCTGTCCATCTTAAAAAGTGGCTTGCACCACTACTACTTTCAGCCCTTCGAGTATTGCTTGATATGTAATCGGTTTAAGGTTCGCGTAATAGAATTGAAATAGATCGCGAACTCCCGTTCAGGTGTCATCCTCGAGATAAACGTCCGCGCGTGCGTTGCGTGCATGCGTGTATCGATGCGTGACGCGGCGATTCTCGAAGCCCTCGCGATAAAATCCGAAGAACTGTGCCCGTAGGCGACGACACGCGCAGGAAATCTTTCTCCTTCTTCCTTTTAAGCACAGCGATCATCCGGCCGAAGCGAAAATCTAGGTACCAGTCGCTAACGCGAAATTAGTTATCGTGTCGCGCGCGTGTTCGAATAAGTGACACGGGAGAAAAAATCGACGCTGAGAAGAGTGGAGTAGCGTACAAGATTCACCAGCTATCGTTATCGTGCCTATTATTTCGCTGGATCGTTACTTCTTGCTAATTGCGCTCGATCTAACAAGTACGGGGATACCGTTCTAATCGCGACTAATGATCTCCTGATGCGGAAGCGTTCCATTGAAATTTCTGTGATACCTATAAATATTCCGAACAAGAAATTATAGCGAACAGTTCATTAAGAGAAATGAATAAACTAGGAACAGGTTTGCAGTTCTCCCTAACAATTTCAATCAATTTCATTATTAATTTCATCGATATTATCAAAGGCGCTTATTATTACTATTTGGCTGTTGCCAAATTTTAAATCTTGCTATATCGGGTCAATTTATGTTTCTGATTTGTGAAGGCCCTCTGACAAGTCCAATCAATTCAATTATAATTTCATCCGTATCTTATTATCAAACTCCACGCTATATCGATACTGTAATCGCAAAAAAGAGGTACTCGACTGCAGTACTACCCCTTTTTCTCGGTTTTAATACTTAATCAGCAGTCGCTTCGAATTGATCGCTGCCCCAGGCTTTCCTGGGCACGGAGAATAAAAACGGAGAATCTCGGTACGTATCGCCGTAACGAGCGTCACGAAAAAACGGTGGCTACTTCGTTAACCGACCGAGATTAGCTCGTAACAGCTGTTTCTTTCCCGTGTAAAATCCTTACGAATAATTTGTCAGTCATCGATGCGCTTCTCTGTGTTTTCCGTCCGTGGAATCCTCGCAAGGAATTTCGGAAACAGGCGCGACATTTCGCCGCGTTGAGAATTCATGCGATCCTAGGAAACGTAAGTTCTGTCACCAAGTTTTAGCGTAGTTTACTGATCTTTTTACAGAAGAATCAATAATGTCAAATCACAGTTTGAAACATGTGAAGTAGATGTTACTATTTATATGAACGTGAGTAAAACTGATCTAGTTTTAACACTGGAAAGAAGTTATACCTTGGTTTTTATAGAAAAGGTGAGAATGAGTAATAATTACAGCAAATAGAGGCTACCTCTCCTATTATGAGAATAGACATAAGGGAATAGACCGAGCTTCCGATGTATTTTTATCGAGAGTGAAAAATAGAGTTTCTCTCTCTCAGACGTGTCGACAGAAAGAAAGAAACTTTCCCATTCATTTGTTTCCTTTAATCGCCTGGTGTGAACTGCAGTCTCCTACGTGGGCCCTCGGTCTATTCTCATATATCTATGATCGTGAATAGGATTGACACAATCTAGTGTCAATACTGGAAGTCGCCTTCGACACGGAGGTGACAAACAGGTGCGAAACGATTCACGGCAAATCTGGATTTAACGTCGAATAACAATCGGGCTACGGAGAACCGAGGACTGTTTCCCGCGAAGATGAAGAGGAGGAACGCAGAGCGGTGCAATAAAAATGAAGCGAGCCACCGAGCTTCGGTGGAACGCTGATTTCTCTCTTTCTCGCCTCGGCTGCTACCTTGGTCCTCGTTAACTTTACGAGCCGCTCGTAAAAATACCGTTCTGGACCTGCTCTCTCGGCGCGTCGGTAATGTCTTCATCTCCACTGGATACGGACTCCTTAGCCGTCCTCCGGTTGAATATAATGTACTTTAATCGACCGGTCAATTACTTAACAGCTGCGAACAATTAATCCCTTGGATTTGCCTATACTCGAATCGCCGATTCCTTCACCGAGACTCACGATCTCCTCTCATGAAATCGTCGAAGTAAGAAGTATAATAAAGTTCCATTTAAAGGGAATATTCGAATAAATGGAAATAAAACAAAATTATGCAAAATGAACGTTAAACAAAAATGACATTATTCATTATTTGACATAAACTTCATTTATTGAATTGCATTGGAAACAGTAATAAATTCTTAAGGAATTTACAAGACAGCAGATGCAATAATTAATTCAGTTGTTATTAAATTTAAACGACAGGCTTAATCATTGCCACATATCAGGAAAAACAATTGAAAGAAACTATGGATTTATGCATTGTATCAAGTGAACTCGACACGGTTGTGGTCGCAGAACAGTGGCAGCCATTACTCGGGAGCAACCCTCGGCGAGGGAACCGTTAAGCAAAGAGAGATCGCGGGTTCGTGCGGTTTTTTTTATTAATCTCGAAAATTTTGTACACGTAGCTACGTGAACCGCGCTTGAACATGGACCAGAGCGATGTGCACGCGAAACAAAGCAAAGAGGCAGAGAAAAGAATGGGAGATGAGAAACATTGAACGGAGAGAGAGGATCGGAATTTCGCTCGAGGCATGGATGCCTATTAGGCGGGTACATCGTTTATATCCAGGCACGCAGTTCACCCGTGGGAGCGCACGCGATACCCTGCCGACTTTAGCCGTCATTATTGTTATTAATAATAAGACGTAACCACCGATAATTGCTCAGATCTGCCCGCGCCTTTCCATTATTCTACCATTTCCGCCTTGTGAGATACGAGAACTCGGCGAACACCTCGGCTCGTTGCGAAACGGCCACCGATCCGTGCCTCGAAACGATGACAAACTTTTGATTGATAAACGAATATCACACCTTCCTTCATTCATTATAAAATAACAAGTTGAATTGTTTATGTTGGTCAACATAAGTCTAATCACAAAGGGAGCATGAAGCAAATACATATAAAGTACGGAGTTATAAATATACCTACAGAAATGTATTAGTGGATAGCCATAGTTGGAAACATTTGATCACGAGTTATCGTGTTTCGTTGCGAGTGTACATTTAGAAATTGCAACTACGTTGCCCGACGATATACGAGCAAGTTCATTTCAATACATAGAAACAGGATTTTTAAACTTGTGTACTCTGGCAGCCGCGCGCGGCCAATTTGTTCGTCTTTATACTTACGCGGGATCACGTAACACCTGTTTTTCTTCGACGCGTAATTTGTCAGCTTTACCCTATCCATTGTTACTCGAGGCTAGCTTTCCTCGCGCATTTAAAAATCGATCAGCCTTTCCCGAGGAATAGCTACCCACGCAAGTAGTAAAAACGATGATAACAATCCAAGTCTGAATGTGTACATCACAGGAACATGCTACAATAAACAATTTATCCGATGTCAATTAAGAATTTATTATACTAATAAATGCAGAAATGCTGAAAGGAGCAGAGATTGATAAGATATTTTATAAAAACATATTCGATATCTGAGACGCTTTATGTTAATTCCAGACTAATAAAACTTTGTTTTAGTACTGTGCATTAAATAATTTTCTTAAACTTAATCATCTTCTTGCTTTACTCGCACTTAAGTCGTTTGGTATATCTTGAGAAGTATCAATCGTTCCAACTTCTACATTAGAGCTTTCAGCTTATCACCTATTTCACCTGATTTTAATAAGTTATCAAACACAAATGTGCGATTCATACGAATCGTAGTTAGATTTAAGCTGTAAGCCTTGACAAGTGAACAGATATGATATAAACGATCCCATCCATCCAACCTAATCATCTCCCTATCACCATTAAATTTTGTACAATCGCAACCATTCACCTTCAAACTCTTCCATGTATGCATCAAGTTGAGATCACATTGACAGGTAGATTAACAAAAATACCGAAATACAGATTTTAAATCTCAGATATTGACTTTTAAGTCACTATATGTCTCAAAGAGAGAGTCGGAGGTATTCAGTTTTCAATTAGCTCGCCGGCGCCGATTAGCTAATCTTGAACGGGTTCGGGGGCAGTCTACACGCGTATTGCTTCTAGCATGCTCTCGCATGACTCTCGGCCGACTCGATCAGCGAGCTGAGAGAAACGCGGCAGCAGCAGCAGCAGCAACGGCAGCACGCATGGTAGCCTGAAACATGTCTCGGAAACGTTACACGGGCGTCTATTCACCGATCGGCTCATATTAGATATCTCTGATTATCGCAGGCTATCGCATACCGGTATCGTTTCACGCGCTAAGCTTCTAATGACTGCCTCGTGGATCCGCCCAGACACGATACCATTGGTATCCGATGTCGGGAGAGCCTGCTGCTGCTGCTCAGCCGAGATTTCAACGAGGGATGAGCTTCCCGTTCTCTATGCACCTAACTCGTCGCGTTCTCCACTCCACGTTAACTCGAACATAAATAATTCCAATCCTTCTTAACTGTTGTGAGATTAAAATAATGAAATCGTTTTTTCTGAAAGTGTGTAACGTAGAGCTGATCTGTTTCATAAAAGAGAAAAAGCCGTAATAACAACGGACGACATTTTGCTGTCACAATAATGCGAGGGTATACGCAGCTGAAATGATTAAGCGGATGATAATAGAAATAGAATATAAGTTCAACTACGCTTATTACAGCTACAACTCGTTTTTACTGATATCTATAACTGAATTTATTAATTGAAATGATTCTTCTATGTGTTATACCATATCTACAGTAATACATGGAAAAAATCTAATGAATCGCATTTGGTGATATTATATCTAGAGTAATTCATGGAAAAAATGTAACGAATCGCATTTGATCCATTTACATATGATCTAGTACGTGCATTTAGTCAATTTATGACGCCATTATGCAGCGGCGTTCTGACGTTCGCGTGATTTTTCGATATTATCCCGATTCGCGAATAATTTTATTCAAGGTTTTAAATGAATGAAAGATAACGCGTCCTTGAACCCTGTGTACAAAATTACGTTGCAGGCACGCTACGACCGCCGGGTTTGATCGGTGGCAGCAAGCCAAAAGTGGCGACGCCAGCCGTCGTCGCGAAGATCGAGCAATACAAGAGGGAGAATCCGACGATCTTCGCCTGGGAAATCAGGGAAAGACTCATTTCCGAAGGTAAGCGAACTTGCTCGTTTTTCATTTAACATCTCGAATGATTAAGCTGTAAGAAACTCGTTGCCAATGATGATTGAAAATTCTGTACGTATTTCACAAGAACGTTAATAAGCTGTATAATTGCTGGTAACCAGTTAGTTAACTTTAACAATACGCGTGCTTCGTGAAAATCCCTCGTAGCTAATACCCGCTAGTTATGCGTCCACGAGCAAACATGTAATTTATTGCGTAGTGGAATCAAGGAGGATCCACGGCCTTGCGCACCGACACACTTTATTCTTTTCAAACGCGAGCTTCGAGACGGCCTGCTCCGAGCCTTGGATTCTCTCCTCCGACTATTAATTAACTAAACCGAACGTCCTTTTGTTGCCCGCGGAAGCTTTCGCCTTTCAACCGTATCGTACGTCGTTCATGGCCGATTTACATGAAAATCGATAACGCTGTGTGAAACAGAAAGGACCGGATGCGAATTGTGTGTCCAAGGAAGGCGCGTCGAATGAAAACTGTATGAAATCTATTTTTAAGATTTCAATCGAGTGTAAGAGCACAGTTCTTTCCTTCGACTCTGACTCAGTTGCTAAGATGAAATACTTAGGTAACAACTATTTAACTGTCATTATGTGAGTGATTGTATATTGACATTATAAGTACAGTCACAAGCTAATGACTATATTGTAATATTAAAAGTCGGCTCTCTTTGTAGCTAATTAATTTAAGGATGTATTGGCTATACAGTCAATCCCAAAAGTTCATGTACCTTAGAAAAACGCATTTCCTATAATTAAAAAGAAATCAGACGTCGGAAGAACAATGCTAATAATAAATAGCTACGTGCTGAAAAGTATAGAAGGAAATATCCAATTAATTATTGGCGAAAATTTTTTTATACAGAAGTTGTAGGCACTGATAGCCTCTACAAAGAAAGATTCTATGCATTTTTCTTCTAATTTTGATATTTAACGAGTTACGTATGAT